ATAACAGCAAAGAAAAGAGAAACAACTTCTTTATGGATAAAAAAAAAGAGCAAAACATATGTAACAGCTGTATCTGACGATTGGGGAATTGCACATACGTATATAGACTAATAAACATTTGATAATAGAAAGAGACAAGAGAAAATAATATTCTATTATCGAAAAATAAAAATGATTCGTAAAATATTTTCTTTATACTAATCAGTGCAAATATTTAACATATCGAATATGTTAATAATGTTATTTCTTACTTGTATATAAATATATATATTATGCACACAAAAAACATCATACAAAAGTATAGCAAAATCAGATAGTCAAACAACTGTTTATGTTCGTCAACTACTTTTTCATATACTATAGAATATATATCGAATTTTCCATGTATATAAATATAAGTTTTGCACTCACAATAACATAGTTACCCTATTTGAGAAAATTACAAATATTCACATATTTTATGTTATTAATATACAAATATATGTATCCCTGATGTAATTAATGTGTTTTATAGACAGAAAAATTCATGAATAAGTCAACATTCCAATCTATTTTTTTTCTAATTATGTTTAATATAAAATTCTTATAATATTTTTCCCTAAAACTCAATTTATTTGAATTACCTGAAATATTTCACAATTATAAATAAACAATGCCATGACTTTTAAAAGATTTATCGTCAAGTAATTCTCTAATAGAAGCATAATCTATGATTAATTCTACTCTTTTTATTTTATTTAACAGAAAAAAAATTGAAATTAAAATTTAGTTGAATTTTCACAATTAGATAATGTTATCAAACATGTTTTAGATTTATCTGAGAAATGCATATTTTTTGGACATGTTGTTAATTTTAGAAAACGTTCATCTTTACATTCATAATAAGATGAACATTCTTGTAATTGATTACCATGAAAACCATTTGTTTTATTACGACAACTTGGTATTAACCAACAAGGTCTTTCATCAATAGAACTATGTATTTGTGGATGATGATAATCACCTAAAATATATTTTTTTGAAATTGATTTTTCTTGTTAAACATTCTTACATGCATCTTTTGGTTCAAATCGTTGATTACATTGTACTTGAGAATAATGTTTACATTCTTTACTTTCTAGATCAAATAAAAATGGATATAAACAAGAATAATGATATGTTAAATTAGATGTTGTTGATAATTGAACAGAAAACCAAGCACAATTTTCATGATTTTCATTTATATTTACTAAATAACATTCATCATATAAAGGATTTACTCCTATACAACGTTGTCGATATGTACTAAATATTGGTTCAGATGAATTTAAACATTGTAAAGTTTTATTAAGTGTTTCATTGAAACAAAAATAAAATGTTTGACAATTTAAACTTGTATAATCAGCATAGAAACCATTAGATTTATTAATACAAATATCGTTTTTACATATTGAATTTATAATAAACAGACATAAAAGAAATGTAATAACAATGATTTTTATACCAGACATGATTTGTTGATAGAATAGAACCTATTCGATTTATTTATATATATAAACAAATAATTCTGTCCTCGACGATTCGAAATGACAACTACGCTCGTTCTGTTTAATAGAAAAGAAATTGGTCACGTTGTTGAAAAAAGATAACTTTACTATATCAAATTTCTCATCGTTCTTCTTTTATAGAATATATCGATTTGTTTTTTTTGATAAGTAATAGACATTTACTGGAAGTTTTATTCCATATGAATAATATAAACAACTTTAGTAGTATTATGACTGATCTAATCAATGACATTTCGTTTGTTGTCGACTTAGAACTTTAGTAGAATTATGTAGATTAGCGTCAATTGTTTACATTATTTCTGTAAACTAAATTTTCGATAGATTTTGATTATTAATCGAAAAACTAACCTATTCATATTTTAATGTTAATTCTATTGAAATACATGTGTTTTATTAATATTCTTCGTATCGATAATTTAATAATCATCTGACGTTTTTGTGTTATTAAGTATTTTACAATATGATTTTAATATCCATCTGTTATCTTTGTTAACTTCATGGAATTGTTATTTATTTATTAAAAACAAAAAAATAACGATTGTTTTGGCTTTTATTATTAGTATTTGTTGATTTATAAATTAGTTTCATATACAGATCATAATAATTCGTATTGATTGATATTTATTCATAGAAAATTCTGATTAATCTTATGTTTATGTCTGATCAAGTTATTAAAGGTATATATATTTCTCTTTGATTTTTATTCAACGAGGGAATTCTTTTTTCTTGATGGCTAAATGTTGATATCAATATGAAGATCTTTGGAGTTAACATTAAGCGTAATAATAATATTGAAAAAAATAACTAAAAGCGTCAGAAGTTTAGAAAAAGGATGAAATATCTACGAAACGAATGAAACCATAAAACTTCTGTAGATTTTCTTATTGTTTTTCAATACTTTTAGATACCTCCGGAACATTTTCTGGAGGCCCGGTAAAAAACCTCTCTTCTATAGAAAATAAACTGAAATATGGATTTATCCCAAGTCTCTTAATATACGCGTTCAATTGTTGTATTCGAATTATCAAAATATTATTATCATTTTTAGTAATTTAAATCTGAGCATTCTTGTTTTGTTTTCAAAATATTTCACTTAGAATACTTTTGAATCAAGGATAGAAATTAATTCACACTTTAAAACGAAATCATTCAATTCGTCAGACTGACTAAGTTTAATCATGATCTTAGTTAGATCAGGGTGAAGCTAAATCATACATACATATTATCAATATATGTATCTTCAAAATGTAAAACTTCATATAAACAGATTGAACTTACTTTGTTTATTTTTGAACAAAAAAGTAATACTTTTGATCACATATACTGAGCAGTTTAATATAAAATCAGAAACACAAAATAATGCTTTATTTTTTAGATTGATCATTTTTCACGTAATACTGAATATGAAGATTCACGTGTCCAAGTATTTAATTCAATCTTGTAACCATTTTCACCAGGTGGACGACCAGAATGATATGTCAAATGTTCTACTTGTTTCAATTCGTTAATGTTCGACCAGAATATACTATTTCCAGGTAATGGACGAAATCGAATATCAGATTTGTCTGAATTATCATCACAAATTAAAATATCACAAAAATGCTCATGTAATGATTTATTAAATTGTATTTGAAGAAATTCAGTTTCACCCATAGAACAATTCGCTTGAAGATTAGTGATAAATGTAGATATTCGTTGACCACCATTTTTTAATAGATTTGGTTGTGTAAACCAATCGAAATGAGGTTTCATCTAAGATGTTATATTTAAATAAAGAATAATATTTTCTTCATATTCAACGATTATCTCAATTAAAATGTATCATACCTGTTGATTAGATGTATATTTTACTATGTGAAGTGGTTCAATACGTTTTGCATCCATATCACCTTGAAATTGAGCAAATCGTTGTTCAATACAATTCACAATAGATGTTGCATGACGTTTGATATTTGTTGAACTTGATGTTGGATGATCATCGGAGAAAACTTTTTCGTTTATATCATAAACTTTCGTAGGTTTAAATAATGGTTCTCTAGTATATACACAATCAGATATGAACATAACAATCATTCATTTTCCTACTCACGCTAATTCAATTAAATGTTGAATTTCATTTTCAGTAAGAAATTGTTCAATGTAAATAATTAATGGTTTTCGTTCAATGATTCGAGTGGTATATTGATGTTGAGGACATTCATATTCATATTGAGATAGATCATAATTGTGTCTAACTCTTTCGGATTTCGGAATTCCTTCAGATAAATCTAACTGTATCGGTTGTATTATTTGCCGTCGAATATATAACTGAAGATAAGTTAAACATCCAATGGTAACTTGAAGACTAGTTTCAGTTAGTTCGAGAATAATTTCCTCAGATAAATAGACGTATAAGATACAAAAAGAAGTGATAAGTACAAGAAATACTACTTGGAGAAAAATAAAGTTATATAAAAATTATTATCTTACTGAATAAGAATACCTGAGAATATATAACACATATACATTACTGTTCTTTTAATGTCCGTATGCTAGCTTATATTTCCATAATTTATTTGCTATTAGTATTGACGATACTGAGATGAACAACAAAGAGAAAAACATTCAAATTTATTAGTAATTTAATAAAGTAAATTGATTTTACTGTATAGTTTAACATGTAGTTGATCAAGAAGAATAATCCTATTTCTCTATTCAAAATGACATAAAGAAAAAAGTAAGAACGATGAAAACTTCAGTAGAACGAACAAAGAAATTATTTTTCTTTCGTTTAAACATTCATGCAACATAAAAAGTCATCGTTGTCATGTAAGAAACGAACAAAATATAGTACATCTGTTTCTGTTTGCATAAGCGAAAGAAAACATACCTTTAAAAATAAAATGAGAAATTATTCAATAGTTTAATTCATCTTTTGCGGTGTTGGAAAAAAATGTATAATGATTGTTAAAGAATATGATTTCACATTATAAAAGGTGTTTTATAAGCATTCTACCTATAAGATAAGTATCTATTAGATGAAAATAAAAGTGAAAGTGAATACAAGCACTATATTCACAGTATCATTTTGTGTTTTTATACTGTTTATATCAGTAAAACCAATATTATACTATCGAAAACAAGGATATATACTGTGTTTAAGTAATTAATACTGTTCAGTCTTGTCCTGATAATTATCTTCACTAGCTATTTCATTTACTTCGTCCGTTTGATACTTTATAAAATACTGATTGTTGTTGGAACTTGTGCAAACATTGTTCATTGTTTTGAAAGCAAAAAAATATTTGATTTAGTATGGATTAAAAAGTTTTAAATTAATATAAGTTACTACTACTTGTTACATGCAAAAGTATTAAATAAAAGTTCATTGTAAAGAAGTTTCAACTGACACTGATTTGTACTCGTCGTTTTCTTTCTGCTATATCATTGGCTAATTCACCATCATCTGCTTCAAATGGCTCAATAACTGTGACATGTACGTTTCCGACATCGTTTATATAGCATTATACACAACAAAGAAAGATATAAAGTTATATTCTATAGACAAACAAACGTCAAAAGTATATTGACCACCATAGCCATGAGAACGAAAACAGCCGACTGCTGGTTCTAAGTTACTATCAATAGATACATGATGATGTTTCTTGCGAATGTGTTCTATAATTGAGTCACGGTACTAAACATATGTAAACAATTTATTAGTAATTTATTACTATCAACGATGAAAGATTAATTATACTATTTCAAATATTTCTCGAGGTTTTGTTGCAGTGTAATAACGTTTTGGACCACCTTCTATTGGAAGAGGTTTCTCCATCATTTCTCTAGATGAAACATAAATTAAAATATAAGTCGATATAACTCAATTTACTTACTGATAGGGAAGACTGATTTGTTCGTTCACACTCATGATCCTTGATTATGTAGAAATAACGATGTAGACTTTTATCTAAGATATATATATATAAACTATCAGCTGTGGTGAAAAAACAAATATTATTTGAGGCAATATTCCCTCGACTGTAGTGAGGGTTGTATGAAATAAAATAGTTTGTCTGTTTGTTTGTTTGTGGCAGGTCAAAGGTCAAAAAAACAAAAAAAACATCTACTTCCAAAATGTACCAGCGCAGGTCTAATACAGCGAGTCCGGGTGAAATAGGTCAATAGTGGGTATTTTGGGTGAAATGGGTAGAAAGTGGGTATTTTGGGTGGAAGTGGGT